GAAGGAAATCACAGGTATATGTACTACAGTAGCCAAGAGATTGCCAAATGCTATGAACTGTCAAGCCAGGGCAGATCAGATATTCAAAAGATGCAGCAAAGTGGATACAGCACTTCCGGTGGAGAGGTTGGTGTGGAGGGTGTTCCCAGGAAGGTGGTGAGTGCACCATGCAAGGCGACCTGAGAACAGACAGAGCCAAGGAGCCTGGCTATGAAGACAGGGGACAGATGTTCTAGGGGATGTGAAGGAACATTTTCTTTTTTAAAGATAGTGTTTTAGTTATTTTTCTCTCATTGCTAGTACAAAATACCAGACACCCAAAATTAGGTAAGGAAAGGTTTATTTATCTCAGTTAGTGGAGTTTTCAGTCCATACTCAGCTGGCTCTAAGGCAGAGTGGCATATGGCAGAGGTCAGTCGTTCATGGTGGCGGAAAACAGCAAAGAGCAAAGGGAGGGGCAAAAGCAAGCTATCCCCTTTCCCCTCCTTACATTGTAATGCACTTTACCCACCCCAGGGCAGGTGTAGTGCTCATACCCATAATGCCAGTGTTGGATCATGAATTAATCATAAACTCTAGAAGGTGCCCCATAACTGCATGAGGCTTTAGGGGGACAACTAGACACAAAACATAACAGATAAACATAAATGTATTAAGTACCCATGGAAGGAACAAATACAGAGGAAGAGGGTAAAAGCAAATATAGAGATCAGGGATAATAAACAAAACGATCTCTAAGAAGACAGGGGAGAATGCATGACCAAAGCACACAATGGTAGATGGATTAGGTTTATGGAGTTTTATTCCCTGTGTTTAGATGTCCCTTCAAAGCCTCACATGGTCACAGGTGGGACTTTTCAGAGGTAGCTGGATCTACAGTGTGTGATTACTAAATCAATGATGGTTTGGGATACTTCTGGGTATGGATAACGGGAAGGCCCACCCTGGGTGTGGGTGCTACCACCCTAAGGGTGTGCAGCCTGGATAGAATACAAGGCACAGAAAGACAGCTGCTATGGTTGCTTGCAGCTGATTCACTGCTTCGCTGCCTTCTGCCTGCCATGAGCTGTTTCTCCTCTGTGATGTCACCTTACCTCGGAGCCAGCCGATTATGGCCTGAAACCTCTACAAACTATGAACCAAAATAAACTTTTCCTCCTTTAACCTGGGGTGTTGAGCATTTGTCTTAGCAGAGAGAAGAGTAACTAAGGTCATATATGAGCAAATCTAATCCAGCATTGGGTTTGCCCAATATTAGGATGTTTTACAGGTATGAAAGTCTAGTTCAGCATTAGAAAATCTATTTATGTAACCAGAAACAGGGAGAGCCCTTTCATCATAACAGGAGGGAACAAAGACAATGAGGTCCAACTATAGGTAAGTTAGTGCCTGTGGAATCAGGAGATTCCTAGTGTACATTTCTCTGTAAAGTAGAAGGAACCTCTAACTACTTTTTTTAAAATTTTATTTTATTGAGAAACAAATATGAATGAGACAGTTTCAAAGCTGATTAATAGGACAGTTTCGATAATCAATACATTGTACATTGTTATCTTCTTAGTGGTTATCCATAGTACAAGAAGCAGACAGGATATCCTGTCCAAACACATTAGTACACATCTTTCTTCTCATTGAATTAAGCGAAAGTAGCTGTATATCTATCCTAACTATTTTGTATATACAAATACAAAATGATCTTTCCTTTTTATCCCTTTTTTTTTTTGTTTAGTCCTGTCAGAGTTGGGTATTCTATTGGCATCTAAATACTATAGGTGTTTGAATTCAGCAAAACAATCTAACACTGTCCAGCAGTCTATAATAGTAGTGGGTTATCCTCAGAAGTTATTGATTTGAGCCTTTTACAGCACATTGTATTAAGATGGCTTTACTTTATATACCTCATTTTTATACTTTTCTGCTGGACCTCTAACTACTTAAAAGGATAAATGAAATTCACAAGATAGCAAGAGGAAGCAAGGGGTTAAGGAGTGTGACCACAGTCTCCACTGTAAAGGGGGCAAGAAAACCACTTGAGCTTAAGAGTTTGAGGACATGCTGGGTAATGCAGGGAGATCTTATCTTAAGAACAAATGAAACAAGACCACTGCCCTACCAAAACAAAACAAAACTAAACTAAAAAAAGTGATTCCAAGAGAGATGAGACAACTTTTTACCGCTGTTTTGTTTTGTGGTATAAAGATTGAACCCAGGGCCTTGGCAACCCACCTCTACCACTTAGCTCTCCTAGACTTTTTATTTTTATTTTTGACACAGGGTCCTGAGGTTACCCCAGGCTGACCTCAATACGTGATCCTCCTGTGTTGGCCTCCTGACCACAAGCAGGGCTTACAAGCAGGCACCGCTGCTACCTGCCAGAACACATAAGTTTTAACAAACTCAGCTGAGACTTGAATTCCTAGCTGTAGCATTCATTTTCTTTTTCTTTTTCGGAAATAATGTCTTGCTATAAAGTTTAGGCTGACTTTGAATGCACAGTGATTCTCCTGCCCCGGCCTCCTGTGCTGAGATTATAGGTGTGTGCCACCACGTGGCTATTCATTTTCTGTATTATTTAACCTAAGTATAAGAAAACATAAGTCATACTTTAGAGACATTCATAAATGGCCTATCTGTCCTACTTTTCCTATAACTCACCTTTCATGCCCATTTAGTAATTTTTCATCCATTCAACAAGTTATTGACTGAAGACCCCGTGTCAAGCTCAAGTGACAGACAAGACAAATTCTTTGGCCTCTTGGCACTTAGCCTAATGAGTATGGTAGTAGTTACTTAACAAGTAATTAAGGTAATGGTCACCTGAGCATTTTACTGTATTTAAATGATGAACAATTTTTTTTCTTCTTTTTAAATGACAATGGATTATGTTCATGGCTATAAGGGAAAAAATAAAGGATGTAATACTATAATATAGATTAAAGGATAAGGGAAGGCTTTTCTGAGGAACTGATACTTATGATAACACCTGAAAAATGAAGAGTCCAGCATGGTGGTAGATTCCTATAATCCCAGCACTGCAGAGGAGGCCAGATATTGCAGGTTTGAGTCCAGACCGGGCAACTTGGTGACTTTGCAAGACCCTGTTTCAAAAACAAAAAATACAAAAGGGTCAGTGAGATGCAGCTCAGTGCAAAGGCTCTGGGTTCAATTTCCAGGAACTAGAAAAAAGAGAAACGTTATCCAGGTAAAGGGGAGAGGGGCATTCCAGATAGAGAAAAGATCAAGGGCTATTTAAGGACCTGAAAAGACCAGTGTGATTGAAAGTGGAAATAGGAAGTTGTTAAGGATAACTTAAAGGTTTATGGCCTTTGTAACTGGGAAGATATAAGAATCATTTATAGAATTATTGCAGATGAGAGAAGAATCAGACTTTGGAGGCACTGGGGGTGTTAGTCTCAAGAGAGTTCTTGGATAAGAAGCTTCCGATGTCTACAAGATATCCAGAGATGTTTGGCAGGTAGGTAGATCCATAGATCTAGGTTCAGAGAAGTGAATCAAGGGAATCAAGATCTCAGTCAATTCTTTTTTCTTTTTTCTCTCTCAGTCAATTCTTATTGAATGAATGAAAAAATTACTGACTAAATGGCTGTGGATGAGGAATTAAAACAGGAGCAGGGAAATATGCCATCTTTGAATTCCTCTAAAGTATTAGCTGTGTTTCCTGATAAAAGAGGGAAACACAGAGCCGACACTGAGAGCTCTAAAAATAGAATGTTATCTTTTATTGTATATACTTTGTTAGAAATACAGGTCCAAAGAGATAGTAGGCCAGGCCCAGGCCTAGATGAAGTACAACATGGGGATCAGAGAGAAGACATCGCCAGCAAAGGAGTCTGACAAGATGAGCACAAACTGTGAGCCTGTCAAATGCTGCTGAAAAAGTCAAGTATGCTGAGACAAAATGTATGTCCTTTGGGTTTAGACACAAAGAGGTTATTGGTGACCTCAGCCAAAAGCAGTTTTTATAAAGCAGTAGGGATAGACATGACATTGGAGGGTACCTAAGAGTGAATAGGAGATGAAATGTAGACTTTTTTTTTTGAGATAGGGTCTCACTATATAGTTTAGGCCGAATTTGAGTGCACCACGTAGCCCAGGCTAGGCTTGAACTTGTGGTGATTCTCCTGCCTCAGCCTCCGAAGTGCTGGGAGTACAAGCATTCACCACCAACCCTGCTAGACAACTCTTTTTTGAAAAA